TCATGTGTAGAAGCTATGATGGCAGCAGCGTAGCTTTTTCTTTGTTGCAGGTTGTTTGCATCAGTAGAGGGCTGGTTGAACTTGGGAGTTGCTGTGGCATGGTGATGTTGGGGCTGAGAAGTGTGTTGCTGCTTGCTGGATGCTGGATATGAAGATGAAGGGTGGCCAGAGTTGCCACCTGAGGAGGTCGCCGGCATGCTCAAAGGGTGCTCCGCTGCCTAAAGAGAGACATACATACATACATACATACATATATATATATATATATATATATATATATATATATTACTCCCTCCATCCCCCTATATTTGTCCACTTTCATTTTTACACACCATCCAATGCACTTCTTTAATCCATTTTATCTTGTAATTTGTATATTAAAAAATTATAAAAATTATATATTAATAATCTATATATTAAGACAAATCAAACAAGATCACACATGACTATATTTAGGCTTACACATTGAGAGAATTTGATGAGTCAAAGTGCTTAGATGAACAGTTCCAAAAGTCAAATGTGGACAAATGTAGGGGGGACGAAGGGAGTATATTGAAAGATATTACAAAATGAAGAAAAGTTACAGAAATATATATTTAAATACCATTTCCTCCAAATATCAGGGGTTTATCTGCTCGCCTTCCGGTTCTATCTTTTTCAATCCATGATCAGAATCCTTGTTCGAATGAGCAGACAACGAAATCGATGAAGTCAATCATCAACCCTAGTCTCTTCGTTAAAGATTTAATCTCCTCAAAGCTTTATCAATGGAACAGATGGCGTAAAAAGAAAAATAAAAGAGGGTGGGGAAGCTGAGAATGAAGACAGGAAAGAAGGGGCAAATGTGGAAGACCATGAAGAAGAAAAATAAAAGATGTACAGTATCCTTCAATTATAGGTCGTGGGGAAGCTGAAATAGACTATTTTTTGGCTCCGCATCGGAGAAGTTTTTTGGGCTTTTATGTTCCAAAATTTTTATAAAATAGCATTTAGCACTTCCCTTGGAGATGTTCCAGTCATTTAAATTTGTTAGTTGATAAATATAAACAAGTTTAAAGGACTACAAAGCTAATTGTATTTTCCCCCTAAATAAAAACAAATGTCATTCTGATATATTGATAAATACTTTAAGTGGTTCACAAAATCAATGCTAGATTTACCAAATTGCTATTCCAAAAACTGAAAAGTAGTGGTGTTTACTAAAAAGAGGGTCCACAAAACCTAAACACCAAAAACAAAAGAACAAAATCACCAAGAAGAATAAGCATGGGTATCATATTTTAATGAGCAAATTGGAGCAATAATCAACGGCATGATCTGGATATTGTGCAAAATGGAGCTAAAACATGTATACCTTGAAGTAAGAGATTGACGAGGGAGAAGCTGACAATAAAGAACAATGTAACGCACCTGTAACTTATTCGGAATTAATACCTGATTTTACAAGCACTAAAAAGTAAACAATCGAATTATAATAGCCAAAATTCAACTACGCACACATGCAAATATCATGTGATAGAAAAAAGGTAAAACAAACATTTTTCCTATACACATCATTAATTTCCTATAGGAATTTGCATCAACAGAAGATTAATACTCTGTTTTAGAATGTATAAAGGGATTTTTGTTTCTCAAAGATATCATGAAAATGAAAGTATTAAACATAGTAATAAAAAAGGATTGGGTGAAATATGATCAGTCGCTCGTAGTCAAGAATCCAAAGAATATAACTATATTAAATCTTGATGGAAGCACCATGTGAGTGCTTTGGGAATTATGAATGTCTTAGCTGCATTGAGTTGACGGAGTTCACCATTTTCAACCCATGAGATGAAATTATTCTAAAACCCTTAATCTTGTGTTGAGGAATCTGATTTTTTTTTTGCCAAAATTTAAAGATGTTTTAAAACTATGAACTGTTTCGGCTTTGGGAATCTTTTGCGTGGTCGTAATTATTATGATTATGTTTTTTGGGTTTTATCTACATGATTGAAAAATGGAGTACTATTGAACGAACCTGAATTTGATAAAGGAAGACACATATTAGAACCTAGGTATTACCTCACAAGCTAAGATGGAAAAAGAGTTTGAAAATTGACCAGATAATCGTCATATTTTTCTTTTTATCTTGTCTAAGAAATGGACTTTATTATTTTTCTAATAAAATAAAGAGTGCGAGATTTACAATTTTTCTTTTTCTCCTAAACAAATTTCAAGTACTCACATTTACTATAAATACAACTTCAAAATTTTTTAAGATCAAACTATGATGATAATTTATTCAAGACACATGACTCTAGTGACTCTAGTCTCACGCCCTTAATATTCCTTTCTTATTAATCACGGTCTGAAAGTCCGGTTGCTTCTCCTTCCATACAAACAAAAACCTGCTCAATCATCATAATTCCTTTTTCTTAACCACAAAATCCCTTCCATGTAATTAATTATCCCCAAAACCATCCCTTAATCCATCATAATTATCATTCCATATATTAGAGAGAAAATGGATCTAAAGAAAAATGTTATAGGAGCCATAAATTTCGTAGCTTTACTACTCTTAGTCCCAATCATAGCCACAGGAATTTGGCTAATGACCCAAGCAGAAATCTCATGCATAAACCTCTTGAACTGGCAAGTCATTGCCCTTGGAATTGCAATCTTAATAGTAGCTATTTTTGGCATTGTGTTTGAGTTTTGGTTCCGGGGTTATGGTTTGGGTTGGGATTTCCACACAGAAAGAAAGAAATACCCAAGGCAGAACCAATCCCAAAATTCTAAATTAATAGCAACCGTAGATTGTAATTGTAAATAACCAAGTCGTGAGTTAATTGAGATCATAAAATGCTTCAAGTAGAATTAATAACATAGTAAACAATAGTTCTACTCCCTGAAAAGAACCAAAATGAAACACATTTTGTTATACAATGCCTCTCCCTGAATAATCTTTTATGTTGAGTGAATATGTTAATTCATTGCATTTGATTATTGTGTTTATTAAATTCTCACTCAATGATGTAATACTTGATTAATCAATGCGACTATGTTATTCAGGTACACATAACACTGTCATGAGACATGATTTGTCTTGTCAAGGATGTTTTGGTTTGGTTTACAAAATATGGTGATGTTTAAATAACATATTGCATAGAGAATAAGACCTGAATTTTAAGGGAAGAATATTTACTATTAATATTGTATGAAGGTTAATTCGTCTGTAGCCAAGGAAGAAGTAAGTTCTTGATGCATGCTTTTAAACAGCTGTAAAAGTTGTTTAACAGGCTGAAATTAATTTTTTTAGTTTGATTTTTAAGATTTGAAATTCGAAGGATCAAAAAATGCTGATGTTCCCAACAACAAATCCTGATGGTAATCATTAATCCTGTAAACATTATTGAGATTTAAACCAGTTCTAGTGAGGTATTGTTAATTACAAGTATTACCCTGATGGTCAGAGTGATGCACTGGAATTATTCTTCTAAGAAATACAATCTAAGGAACTCATATTGTTAGTTCTAATTTTCTGTTCCTATGACAGTGTTGATTGACAGTATTGCAATGTTTATGATTCCTTCATACTCAAAGCCAGGCCCTAACCGCAAATAAACGGAACTTGTGCCAGCCCAAAGACCTAAACCCTTTATATTAGAATTAAAAACATACGTGAAACTAAAGTTTTTATCAGCAGTATTTGTTACGTAATATATTCCCTGTTCAGTATATATTCTTATTGCTTTTAACAACCTAAACTTTTAGGTAGAAAAAGCTGTTATGTTGAATGAAAATGTTATTTCATTTAATTTGATTATAATATGTGTTTAAGTATAAATGAATGCAATAATACCTGATGAATCAACTTATGTTTCCGTTGTTTGCTATTGTCGCCAATCCTTAATGCAGGAAGTGATAAAATTCTGATGACCACTGATTGTGCTTTTCAAGAATGCCTTGCTTTGCTTGAAGGGAGAATCTGGTGTTTAAATTAGACAAGTGTAAACAGAATGGCACATGAAGTTTATGGTAAAAGTATTGGGTGTTAAGATTGTATGAAGGTTTATTTGTATATAGGCAAGAAAGAACAAAGTTCTGGATGTATGATCTTATAGGGTTCTGATAGGATATTTGAAAAGCAGCAATGAAAATCATGATTTTGAAAATTCAAATTTCAAACATAATAAACTGACATTTTATTTAATTAGAGTTAATGTGAATATTATTGCTGTAAATAAGCAATTAATGGTTTCCTTTAAATTCTATTTAATCATTAATGTTATTTGAATTACTTTCAATATGGCAGTTACTAATACAAAATGAATGGCACATTTCCATGTTATTTTACTTTTATTTGATGCTGGTGATTATGTTGGAGTTCAACGTACCTGAACATGTTATCGCCTCCTGCTTTTGTATCATAATGTCTTGCATGGATTACCCCTGCGGCGTAAAAATCATTAAAAATAATATGTCTGGTATTTTAATGTGGAAAATGGTTGGTACAGAAATAGGGTTTAGCTTCGAAAGATATTATATTTGGATGAGAATAGGTCTAATGAAGAAAACAGGTTTTAGTCATTATTCATATCACTATTTTTTTTGGATGAAAGCAATGATCTTATATGTTGATTCAGCAAACAGAAGAAAGTCTTTTCTGACTCCATGGCGTAGTCCATTCAATATAATTTTAATACAAATTAAACAGAGGGTGGGAGCATTAGAGCGATTTATGAAAGTCAAGTGCATTTAAGAGAAAAGAAGCTGTGGTAATATTTGTGAATGAAATGCTAAATGAAAGGTTGCGTTTTAAAACCTTCAAAACAAGTTCCTTTGTTGTTTGGGTAGCTATAGAAACACTGCGGTGCACAATGCTAGTAACTATCTCCTTTATAGCTCTATCCATAGAGATAGGAAGTACACTGAAGCAACAAAAAAATAAAGACAATAACAAAAATAGCTAAAAAGATCAACAAAGTTTTCTCATGAACGGCTTATGTTGCACTAAAAAATTTTGCACCTTTGAAAAGGCAAGTGTATACCCAATGCACGAAGTTATGGGTTGATGATGTACTGCGGCTCAATATTAGACGAGGGAGCAGAAAGCTGCAGCAACAGTTAACTTTAATTATTAAATTAATGATCTAATTAGTTTTACAGCAAAACAAATCTTTTTTTAAAAATTTGTTCACAAACACAAGTGCCAAATACCTGGCTAACAGAAAATGGTGTCTGCCCTTGCAAAAGACCCTGACAGAAGGTATTTGATTCAAATCAGTTACTAAAGCTACAAGCTTCTCTTCCTCCATAAGTGTTGGAGACGGAAGATGAAGTGAAGCAGGATACTGGATGCACCATGTGTGAAGTTTGTGGTAATAATAACTGATAACGTGAAATAATGGATAAAGAACATTTACCTGGGTTATTATGCGTGAATGACCACTGGGATGAGATGAATTAACCTCCGTCGGTAATTCAACCTGATTAAGAGTATTTATAATTCCTGGTTTGGCATCTGTAACAACCTGGCGTTGAGAAGAGTGGCCCACATCTTTAATTGAGAAATCGGGATTTCCTTCCACTTCTCTGACCCTATCTTTAAGTAGGGAGGTTGGCACTACATTTTTCAAGTCCACACCAAGGTTTTTGAACAGCACCTGAAATGGAAAAATAAAATATAATATAAAAAAGAAACACAAAGAGTTAGGAGTAAGATGATCCAAGANCAACCTGATTAAGAGTATTTATAATTCCTGGTTTGGCATCTGTAACAACCTGGCGTTGAGAAGAGTGGCCCACATCTTTAATTGAGAAATCGGGATTTCCTTCCACTTCTCTGACCCTATCTTTAAGTAGGGAGGTTGGCACTACATTTTTCAAGTCCACACCAAGGTTTTTGAACAGCACCTGAAATGGAAAAATAAAATATAATATAAAAAAGAAACACAAAGAGTTAGGAGTAAGATGATCCAAGACAGCATATATGCAGAATAAAATGAAAAGCATACATATGAATACCTCTATATCAAACTTGAGGTTCATTTTTAAGTTTGTCATTGTGTAAATCTCAGTAAGTAATCCAAGTATACCCATGGTCCAAGGATTAGGGGGTTGGTATGCTAGGCTGCTTTGACATGCTTCCAATATCTGCAGAAGGCAATGACAATTGGTATAATGCAATCATTAGCCCTTGTACACATAAGGGAAATAAGCACACATCACAAGTATAATGCAGAAACCTTTGAGGTGAAAGGAATAACTGCAATCATTAGCCCTTTTACATAAGCCTACAACAGAAAAGTAATTTAGCACGTCAAACACTAAAAGGCATCGAGATAAAGTGATGACCAAAATGTAATGTTAAAAATTGTTACAGAATAAAGAGAAAACAACATCTATGATCAAAGACTTGAGATCAATCTCTTTGGCACGTAAAACTTGATTCCTGCCAATTGTTATCTTCCCTTGCCAACTTCCAAGATTTTTCAGCAATGAACGTTCCTCCGAACTTGACTTTATAAGATCTGATCCTAAAAGAACCTGTTAAAAAAGAAAAAATATGGAGTAAATAAGAATAGCATATCCTTCACTTTTCAATTAGTGTGGCGTGGAAGGACTGGAAAGAGGACAACGAACCTTGCAATTCTCATAGGTTGCTTGGACAACTTCTTTGAACAAGGCCTTTGAATTCACCTTGTTTAGGAACTTCAAGTACAAGTCATGAAAATTTTGCTCAATACTGGCTCTGAGTAGACATTTAATCCATAAACGAAATAAAACAAAAAAAAATGTTAGATTCAATGTGCTGGCAATGATCCATTGGATATAGAAACTCTAAGAGCGTGTTTGGAAAGTGAGCGTGTAGTTGGGATTTGGTGTAATTGCGTGTAATTTCACTTTTTTGTCATGTTCGGCCATCCATGTAAATACAAAGTCAGAGCATAATTGGTCGAATTGAACGCGTTCAATTACACTATCCAAATTAGAGGGGGTCAGCATTGGTGTAACTATGAGCTTCAATCTCCTCTAAAAACAAATTCACTATAAATACACAATAACACCAAAAAACTGCTGGTAGGTACCCTAGGTTTTGTTGTAAAAACTACCAGGTCCTACTTTTTTTAGAAATATACTGCCAGGGTACCAAATTTAGGATTTAATGACCAATCAGGCACATTTCATCCACATACCCGTTAAGCCTACTCTCTCCGTTAATTTTTCAACTTCAAAATAGTGAAATCCCTTTTTTACCCCTGCAAAGCTTAAGTTCCCTTCTTCGTTCTCAGAACACACAAACGCAACGCAGGATTGGGGGTAGGGTTTTCGCACCTGATCTCCGCCTCATGTTCATAGGTAAGTATTTGATTTTCTCCTTGTTCTTGGTGATGAAATCTGTTTTTCCATCATCTTGTTCTTGGTGTTTGTGATTTAAGTTGAAATTATGAGATTTTGATTTTCCCCAATGCCTTTCAAACGAAAATTTCAGGTACAAGAAGTGAAGTAAAGAACTCTTTCTGTAGCAATGACTTCAAACAGGTATTGTGATTTTGCCCGATTGCTTTCATACGAATTCATTCACATATGAATTTTTTTTCGTAGTAGTAGTGGTGTTCATTACTCTTTCAACTCAAGAAGAATTCTTGACCATGGGGATTGGTTTGACTGAACAAACATGGCCATCAATTAGGGTTTTAATCATCCATGAATGACCATCTACAAGAACAGAAGCATGAATCCTGAATTTGCACTTCTCATTGGCACATGTTTGAGTGTATTTTCTTTTATCATTCTTAGTCTTTCTTAGAGAAATACCTTTCTGGATAATGTAATCCCTCATCACCCTTAGAAAATCTTTTTTTGAGCTGAATATGTCACCCTCCCTCAGCTCTACTTTTTCATTTGTACTTCTAATCCACAACCTGCCAGTATTGAAAACCATTGCCATTTTATCCACAATCAACTGACTTCCACTCCCATCTTCATCCTCTTCCACATGACCCAACTTCATTCTATTATTAGTATCAGCATCAACATCCAATTCCTCATCTGTCTGTGACTCTTCATCCAGAGACACATCCACACTACTTGAGCACTCTTCCTCATCACCATCAAACTGGCTTCCTTCATCATCATCTTCACTGCAGTCCTCTTCCTCAGCACCATCAGTTTCATTGGGAGGCATTACTTCTTCAAAGAACAAATCTAGGGGAGTAACTGGGGCTTGCACAGACTAGGAAGATCATATGCTTCTAGACCTTTCAATTCCTTTGCAAACAGTTTCACATTCAATTCAGTTATTTCAAATTCTTTTCTTCCACATCCTATAGAATTTTTCTTTCTCTTCTTAGGTGTCCTAACACTGTCAACAGCATCTCTTTCTTCTTCAGTGTTTGGTGGTATTAGATCAACATCTCTGAAACCTGAGGGGCTTACTTCATCATCTGGCCTTCTTGGTTGCTTCCTAACAGGTAACTTGGTTTATTAAATGACCCTAGTTTAAATTCTAGATTCCTACTGCTTTTACTTGGAGAACCAGGAGTTACAAGCAAGTTGTCAGCCCATTGCTCAATTGAAGTTATAGTCGACTCATGACCATTCTGGAAACTAGAATCAACAGCCGCTGCCATCATTTGCAATGCACTGGGCAGCAGTTCAACAACACATATAGGAATGTAACTGGAAGACACACTCCCCCATTCCTCAACCATTTTAATCCAGTCTGAATCATTAACTAAATGTTCTCCCTGAACTTCTTTGGAGGGTGGATGATATTTCAAACCAACAAACCTAGGCAGCTCTATATTTTTTTCCTTAGCTTTAGAGATGATATCAGAATATAAATCTTTGGTGAAGTAGATATCTAAATCAATGTCTTCTATCACAAAGCATTTATCTTTTACATACACTTGAAAAGATGTAGGAGCCTAAACATTGAAACAAGAAGGAGAAACATGAAATTAAAATACCCAGCAGCAAGAAGGAGAAACATGTAATCCTGAAGATGAGCGTAGTTATAAGGAATTCAGGGAGAGTGAACTCTTACCATTTTCGTGTGTTTGGAGCAGACAAACGATGGTGACAATGGAAAACGACGGCAAACCCTTTTGGGAAGGAAAGCATCCCGTTTTGGAGGAGATGAATTTGCAGAAATGCCAAAACAAGCTTTATTGGGAAATAAAGAAGGGCATATACGTCATCTACATACACTTAACGGTATGTGGATGAAAAGTGCCTGATTGGTCATTAAATCCTAAATTTGGGTACCCTGGCAGTATATTTCTAAAAAAAGTAGGACCTGGTAGTTTTAACAACAAAACCTAGGGTACCTACCAGCAGTTTTTTGCAATAACACTCGTGAAATGAAACATACACAATTACATTGAGACTACCAAACAGTCCATGTAATTACAAACCACTATCCAAGTAAATACGTACTGGCATCCAAGACTAAACTCTTATACTGTATCAATAAGGGTCATACTTCCAGTTTTTCTGAGGATGACAGTAATGACGATGCCTCTGTCAACGATGATGACAACACTAAGGTTGATGAAACTGAAGAATACTTGAAAAGAACTTGAAGAATGTATTTCTCACCAAGTCTAGTTCCAACAAGATCCATTGGCACGCCTGGGGCATTATGTTTCAACTCAGAGATGCACTGGAACAGTATTTATCAATAATTTAAAGCAATGCAAATCAATTACCTAATTATTATTGGGGAAACGGATATCAAACAAATCATCGCGTGATTCGCTGAAATTCCACAATTAAATTGCTACGGCAATTCAAGCGTTTACTCCTACAGCAGGTGAAGCCGTGGATTTCGCGAGTATTAAATTGAATCGCCATTCAATTGCATAGCCATTAGCCGGGTTGTGTTTGGATGGTTTACGGAAAGGAAAGTTGGAATGTACTGGACAGACGGCGTTTCCCACTATTCCCATATTTTTTCAGTTTTTCCAACTATTCCCATTTTCTCAATTTTTTTTATTTACTCCCAAATAATTCTCCAAAAGGTGAAATCGCTCACCCAGGGTGTCCCTCACCCCCGACCCAATGAGAATGTGAGAGGAGGTAAATCACGGTGACCCAAGCACAACACTTAGCTAGACCATATACTAGTGTGCACCAGAGACTCCCCTCATTTTTCAAAGGTGGTCGCCTCCACAACGGTCGCTGCCAGGTTTCGATTCTTGGTCATTCTCCAAACTTCACCAAGTGCTTGCCACTTGGGCTACCCGTGCGGGTATTTACTCCCAAATAATGAATATAGTTAAGGGTGAGCAAGTACCGAACCGATACCGAAATTTCCCGAAAAAACCGAGAATACTGAACCGAAAAATACCGAATCGAAAAAGTACCGAGAAGGAACCGAACCGAATGGTCGGTACGGTATTTGGGAACGGTACAAGGCAACTTCCCATACCGAAAATCCCGAACCGAACATGTATACTAAAATATTATAAAAAATAATACCCCGGAGTAATATTTTATACGGAGTATTCCTTAACTAAATAATATATACGGAGTGAATTTTTTAAAAAAATTGGTTCAAATTCTAGTATGTGTAAATTATACTCCCTCCGTCCCCCTAAGATGTTCTCATTTTGACTTTTGGTGGTTTTTAAGGAGAGTTGAAAAAGGTGAAAGTTTACCATAATACCCTTAATGAAATATGGGTAGAGTGTATTAAATGAGGTGGGTGAGGTGTAATAAATAAAGTAAGTGGGGGTAGTTATGATATTTTAATTGTTAAAAAATGAAATGAGAAGATCTATTGTGGACAAAGAAAAAGGGCTATTGAGAAGATCTATGGGAGACGGAGGGAGAACTTTTATTTGAGTTTTATTTTTGTATGATCATTAAAGTACTTACTAAGATTCAAAATACTCCTTTGTTGTCGTTCACTTTTTTAGTTTGTGAAATACTTCTATAAACTAAGTTTTGATACGCATATCTTGCATTTAAATATTCATTTTTTTTAAATTTTTTTTGTTTTTTAGTTAAATTCACTTTTAATTTTTAAAAATAAAGGGGCGTTTTTAAAATTTTAAGGTGTAAAGTAGGTATGTATATTCATTCCGATTTGTACCGAAACCGATACCGAACCATCCCGAACCATACCGAACCGATATTTCAGGATCGGGATCGGCACGAAGTAAAAGGTCATACCGAACCGAAATATTTGGTACGGTATCGGTACGAGCTAAATACCGTATCATACCGTACCATGCTCACCCTTAACTATAGTAATAAAATGTTTTTCATGTATTACTACTACTACTACTACTATTGTTATATTATTATTACTATTGTATTTTATAAGTTTTTTCAATTTTTCTTTTTTCCCATGTCACTATTTTCTGATTCACACTCATTTAAAAAATTTCTTACATTTTTAATATAAATAATATGGAATAAAATTTTATTGGGGACATTGTTTTTTTTAATTTACATGATACTCTACTATGTTTCAAAAATTATGGATATTTTATTAATCTAAATTGATCTAGGAAAAAGATCAATATTTCAAATGAAAAAATAATAATTATACTACTCTCTTTGTCCCTAAGTAAATGAAATGTACACTTATCATGTAGCTGAATTTTATTCATTTTATCTGCCTACTATGAACAGAATAATAATAATAATAATAATAATAATAATAATAATAATAATAATAATAGTAATAATAATAATAATAATAATAATGATGATAATAATAATCATAATAATAATAATAATAATAATGATAATAATAATAATAATAATAATAATATTAATAATAATAATAATAATAATAACATTTATAATAAGAATACTATGTAAAATTCCTTAAATAAATTTTTATTTTTTATTCTTTTCTATTTTCTTTCAGTTTTTTTCTAGTTTCTTCTAGGTATTTTCTAATTTCTTCCAATCTTTTACAGTTTTTTTCAATTTCTTTTAGTTTCTTCTAATTTTTCTAGTTTTTCTAGTGTTTCCCAGTTTCTTCCAAGATTCAATTTTTTCCTACTCTAAAGAATAGGCTCGAAATGTATAGTCGCTCCGTTTTTGTTGATCCTTAAGAGAATGCTAAACATTTAAAAATATATATATAATTGTATATATATAATACTGGAGCATTTGAGACTCTTTGCAAACCTTTTAAAAAGGTGATGCTAAATTCATTTTCTAATTGGCAAAATCTACTACATTTATAAGAAAGAACATCTTTGTGTTTTCCACATTTCAAGCATTAAGGCTAAATTTGCACATTTAACACAAAAATGAGTATTTATAGCTAAATGTGGGGTGCATTTAGCAATAAACTTTAAAAAAGTATTCCAATGTTGATATTTTTTAAGACTGTCACATCTGCATTTCAGTATCTGTTATTCCATTCATTTTATTATATTAAATCATATCTAGTACTCTCTCCATCGGAAAATGAATTACATAGGTACCATTTGCACGATAAGATTTTATTTACTTTGTTTGTTTTCACTACTTATTTCATAATAAAAATATTCATATCAACTTTTTTGAAATTTTAATATAGTTTTCTAATATATAAATATTATTTTTGATTTTATACTTACACTCAAATAAATTGAATTGAGAATAAAGACATGATGTAATAGTGCAACACTTGTCACCATCAACAATTGCAAATTCCAATACCTATCTCTTTAGCATTTAGGTTAACACAAATACCTTCTCCAAATAACTATATGACCACAATGCAATTTCTCACAACATGACCATAGAACTACTAGACTAAGACATGTAACTCCAATAATAAGTCACAAAACAATTTTTTCACAACATTACAGTAGAACTACTGAACTAAGCGATTGAACTCCAATAGTAAGTCACAATGGAATTTGTCACAACATGACCGTACCATTGAACTACCGTGATAGGACATGGAACTCCAACAATAAGTCACAATGCAATTTCTGACAACGTGTCACAATGTGACTATAAAACTACGAAAAATAAGTAATTGAACTCCAATAATAAGTCATAATACAATTTCTTACAACATGACCATACAAGTCTAGAACTACTGAAATAAGACATGGAATTAGACAAATGCCTTCTGTCGCTTTGTAATACCCTAACAAGTTTGACGGTTCGCATATTTTCTCCAACAATTAATCCGTTCGCATATCTTCGTCGTTCGCCATTTTCTTCTATGAGAAGCAAATGAATTGGGAGCTGAGCCAATAATTTGGTTGTTGTGAATTTGCGCTTTAATCCACGTGGCACTAAGGTAGCCCACAATGGATTGTGTGCTATTGTAATTTAAATTATTGTGCTTTATGGGTAGGATAACCGCGGATGATTACCGTAAACGATAATCAACTCCTACGAGTATTTTAGGTGTTTAATCTTTCTATTTTTATTTTGAGGCTTTATCATTGTTTTATTCTTACTAGACTCGTACCCGTGCGATGCACGGGCTATTAATTGACATATAATTATTCAATGTTTTGAATAAGGAAAAATGTTACAAAGAAAAATATTCTCCCAGCAATGCACGGGACGCATTTTATTATTATATTTGTCATTAATTAAAATTAAATTAAGAGTTTAATTCATAAGGAAAAAATTCTTTCAGCATCGCAAATTAAAATTTTAATGCCTTGACGATTTGTCACTCGAGAAAATGTAACGTATAACTCTCCATGACTAAAACCGTTTTTTCAGCAAAAGACCAACATGCTTCAAGGATTGGCCTTGACTTTTATTTATTGACATAGCGTAAGAGGTCATTATCGGAAATTGTTTTCTCTTAAATATTAAAAGGAATCCTCGAATCCGAAGGTGTGAGTGCAAGTCTTGGAATCACAAACTCGTTTCGAGCATGTTTTCCTGCAAGCAATTTTCCATGGATGACATGGGGTCCTAGCCGACTTATAATCAATCGAGTACCATTACAAAGACCCATTTATTGATCAATAACTCATAACAACCTAATAGATGTTCAACCTTTAAAGTCAGTTCAACGTTTTTCCCTAATATTTTATAAATCTTACTATTGGTTTTGGCCAATTCGTTCTCCATATTCTATAAATCTTATTGTCGGTTTGGACTAAGCAAATAATGTTCTCCACACAAAAGATTTATAAAATTTGTCCAATTCACTATCCACAGGTCTAAATTCTTCATTCACTATCCACAGGGCTAAACCTATTTTTATAAAGATTTATGTAATATTATATTTTTAATTGAATAACATTTGTCATATAAAACGATTTAAAAATAATTTTAGTCGAAAAATAGGTTAGTAAACTCAGTTTATCTCATATTTCCAAAATTATTTTTTATTTAAAACACAAAATAGATTCTTATTTAATCATAATTATAATGTTAAAATTTTTATTGACAAAAAATCAAAACTGGACAAATATTTTGAACATAAATATATTTAAAGATACGCCCATTACTTATTCAGGCCCAAAAGCCCATCCCTATCGGAATATATAACTTTTTTGCTTGAATTTTTTTTGTATCCTATTTGATAAAATAATACAGAGTATTGTAATGTCAATCTCTAGGTTTATAGATTTTTTCATGTAATTTTTTTATATGTAATTTTAAATTTTTAATTGAATAACATTTGTCATAGAAAATGATTTAAAAATAATTTCAGTAAAACATCGTAACGCGTAGTGAGAAGTTTATTGTTGGAATGCATGAGTTCAACCCTTTCTGTGTTGTTAAGTGTTGACTCACAGGTTTTGATAATTGACAAACACAATTTATTCAAGTCAAGATCAAAGTGCTACAACGACAAACACGAAGACTTGAAGTGCCATTCCTTGAAGTATTCAAGAAGGTGCACATGATTTTATTGGAGTCCGAGACGCGTTCAGAGCGCCTAACGGAGGACTCGGAGGAGTAGAAGATTTCCGAAGACTTTTTATTTTATTGAGTCGTAGGAATTTTTGTAAGGATGACAAAAATATCTTCTCTCCAAAATTATTTTTATGAGAGTTAAAATAAAAATTATATTTATTTTTGGAGTCAGTTGAAAAATCTTTTTAACTGTTCAAAATAGTTTTATTGAGTCAGTTACAAAAGGTGTGCCAAACATTTATCAAATATTTATTTTGATATTATAAAATATTTTTGGTAAG